GGAAGTGGTGCTGTGGCTCAAGTGGTAGAGCGCTAGCCTTGAGCTGAAGAGCTGAGGGACAGCGCCCAGGCCCAGAGTTCAGGCCCCACAACCGGACACACAAAAACAAAACAAAACAAACAAACAAAAAAACTATGGTTGTAGGCCATCAATTTGCTGAGGAAGGAAAATTTCTCTTTAGTTGAGCTAATAAAATATTATAATTTTGTAACTAATGAAATAATGGATCTTGGCAAAGTTTATGGATGACTGTTGAAATCTCTAACAGATGTTTGTGAATGCTCTAATTAACTATGAAGTATTTTGCCTACTCACTCATCAAGCTACTGTCCACTTATAGGTCATAGAGGGGGAAAATCGGCAGATATACACAATCAGCAAAATCTAGACTGCAGTTATCTGTAGGATAATTTTTTTTTTAATTTTTACAGTAACAAAGCCTGCAAAGGATGAGAGAAGATTCTAAATCTATGAAGTCTGTAGAATTCTTATTTTTGTGCCAGATCTGGGGCTTGAATTCAGGGCCTGAGTACTCTCCCTGAGCTTCTTTTCTCATGGCTAGCACTCTACCACTTTAAGCTACAATGCCACTTCTAGTTTTCTGGTGATTAATTGGAGATAAGAATCTCACGGACAGCCGGGCGCTGGTGGCTCACGCCTGTAATCCTAGCTACTCAGGAGGCTGAGATATGAGGATCGCCGTTCAAAGCCAGCCCGGGCAAGAGAGACCGTGAGACTCTTATCTCCAATAAACCACCAGAAAACGGGAAGTGGCGCTGTAGCTCAAGTGGTAGAGCGCTCAGCCTTGAGCTGAAGAGCTGAGGGACAGCGCCCAAGCCCAGAGTTCAAGCCCCACGAGCCGACCAAAAAAAAAAAAAAAGAAGAATCTCACGGACTTTCCTGATTGGGCTGGCTTCGAACTGAGATCCTTAGATCTTAGCCTCCTGAATAGTTAGGATTATAGGCATGAGCCACCAATGCCAGGCAAATCTATAGATTAAGAGACATAAAATGTATATGGACCAATTGTGATACATGGAATTTATTTGGGTTTAACTCAAACAAACTGAAAAAAGGTTTAAGATAAAACTGAACATTGAATGGAGGGAAAATATACAGAAACAATGCACAACTATTAATTAGGACCTAAAGTAGTCTTTATAATAGGCTCTTACTAATAAAACAGTAATCTGTTCTAAGACAGGGCAAGCCATAAGATATACTCTGTCTTTAAAGGCTCAACTTCTCCATCTGTAAAATGAGAGCTACACTAAATGATCCCTAGCATCCCTATCCCTGCAGTCATCCTGAGATTCTACTGATAACCCAAATATCTAACTTGCTAAGAGCAAATTACTCACCTAGTTATTCCACCAAGAATAACTGCTCCAGCCACTGTTCCACTGCACACCAGGAGCCACCGGCCCACTGCCCGCTCAGCAGTCTTTGAAGGAAGAGGCACTGTACCCTTTCCAGGCTGTAAAGCCACTTCGGTGATGGTGCTATATTGCGCTGGCCTCAGAGGGCGCCAGATGCCACAACTGCAACCACACTGAGGATCAAGACAGAAAATTACAACAGGAGATCAGAGAAAGGCTGCTACCCACATAACCCCAGTCTGACTGGGGTGAAGGACCCAATAGGGTCGCATCTTCAGAGCTACTGCCCTGTTCAAACATTTGTGTGTGCGTGTGTGTGTGTGTGTGCTGGGACTTCAACTCAGGGCCAGGGTGCTGTCCCTTAGCTCAAGGATGGCAGTCTATGATTTGTGCCACAGCTCCACTTCTCAGCTTTTTGCTGGTTAATTGTAGCTAAGAGTCTCTTGGATTTGCCTGCCAGGGTTGGCTTTCAACCACTATCCTCTGATTGCAGTCTCCTGAGTTGTAAGGATTACAGGCTTGAGCCACCCTGACTGGCTCAGTGTTTCTTAACCGGACCACTGCATTCACTTTGCAACTCAGTTTTCTGTCTAGAGCCGTGTATCACCCCAATCCATTCCCACACTACCTAAAGGTCCATCCTCTGCATACTTCCTTCAGACATCACTGTACTCCTTTATAGGGTTCTACTTGCTCCCCTGGGTCTTTTAAATGGTGATTTTCTCTGGAACACTCCATGGTTGCTAAGTGCAGTCCTCGGTTTATGCATTACTTTTTCAAAGCAATGTCTCCTGCTGCCCTCCTCCTCACAGCTCTGAACACAGACATATATATGCCTTTAGGTTCAAGTTTCTGTTTTTCACGGATCTGGGCTCTGGCCAGCAGTCTGGTCTCAGCTTGACGAGCCAACAACGCCTTCACTGCAAGATGTTCCCAGAGGGACCCCTCGGTCCTCACCTATAAAACATTTGAACTTTTTAACTAAATCTACCATTTCTACTACTTTTAACTACAAACCAGGCCCAGTTCCCTTCACTGTAGAATGGGACTGCACAGTAGTTTCTGTGCAAAAAAACAATATACAAGTAAAAATCTCTGAGCTTTTACTACGTGCTGAAGGTTTGCTGTTCATTAACTCACTGAATACTCATTATCGCTCGGTGCAGGTCTGGCTATCTCCATTTTGCAGAAAGGATAACTGAGGCACAGAAGGATTTAAATAATCTGCCTAATCACCCACAGCTAGCAGCAAGCAGTGCGTCTGGATCCGAACTCAGGGGTTCTGGATACGGGGAAATACACGGCGCCATGGACGGAGCTACCAGAACAGGGAAACGGGGCTTTATCGCAGCCCACTTTCCGGGGTCGGAGTCCGCGGCCGTGCGGTACCTGTGCTCTCGGGGCCGCCCTGGGAACCAAGAGCTGGACACACGGACCCCGGACCAAAGTCTTCAAGGGCGGAAGGAGAACCCGCTGCATCCTGCCAGGAGAGCACCGCGCGCGCACACACAGACACACAGACACACACAACGCTTGCGGAGGGTCTCCCCTCTCCGCTGCCGAAAAGAGAATCACTTCCGGTCCAGGCGACACTTCCTCCTCCGCGGGGAGCTGGCGACTGCGCAAGCGCCGAGGACTCCGCTTCTCGAGGGACGGGGGGGGAGGGGGGTGGGGGGTGGCTACTGGAAGTCGGGCGTCGAGGACGCGCAGGGGCGCGCGCCGCCGCTGGGAACGCGCTTCTCCGCTCGCGCGCGTAGGAGCCGGGGCTCTGAGTGGAAACCGAAGGCGTGGAGCATGAAAAGGCAAGGGGCCTCCTGCGAGCGGAAACTCACGCGGACGTCCTCCGGGAAGACCGGTGCGGAGAGGAAGGAAGTTGGCGGGGCCGGGGCGGGAGCCGGCCTGTCAGGGACTTCTCCCCCGGCGCCTCACGACCCCACCGGCTGCGCGTTTGGGGGCGTGCGGGGCGGAGCGGGGCCGTGAGGCGCCGGTGGGAGTCGGGGGCCCCG